TGCCCCCAGAAAGAAATCACGCTCTGGGATATAAAGCGGGAAGTGTGAGGGTTTTTTTGTTTGTTTTGGTTTTGTTTTTTGGGGGATTTTTTGTTTTTTTGTTTAAAAAAAATGAAGCCTGGGGTCCTCAAGCAGCTGGTCCCCGAGAGTCATGCGGGAAATGTAATCCGAACTATAGGATTTCAAAGCAGATGTATCCTGACAAACAGGAAAAATTAACCAGAAGAAAACAAATCAAGCATTTACCTCAAGTGACCTCTCTGCTTTGTGGTGAGCAGGTTAGCAATTACACTCCCCCCCCCCCTTTTTTTTTTGCTTTAATTGCCGCAAAAATGGCACGGCTGCCCAGCACCCCTCATCCCCTGGGACTTGAGACTCAGACAACTCACTCCAACGCCACATTGCACCTCAGGCTGCTCATCCCTCCCCTCCAGGGATGTTTCCCACAGTCTCTTTTGGGGTGAATCACCAGGTGCTTGTTCATTCCAGCTGCATCCTTTGCATCTCTCAAGGCTGCTTCAGGAACAAGCACGTGTGAGAAAGTGCACCCAAGCAGCAATTCAAGGGCCGCGGACACTTGAGAAAAACCACAGGGGTGCGGGCTGCTGCTGACCCAAAATTATTCAAAAAGGGTAATTTTGTGCTCGATTCTGAATTAGCTGTGTTGTTGGTTTTTTTAACCTCCAGCCTGTCAAATTCTGGGCAAGACAGAAAGTGCCTGGAATGTGAGCAAAGCTTTCACATGTGCAGAGAAGTCCACAAATTAGACATCACCCCACACGCCTGCCAAAGGCATTTCTCACCTGACTCCTGCTCTGCATTTTCCAGAAGAAACAAGTTACCCTCATGCAGCAGCGTGCCTCATTTCCTACAGATTTAACTGTGGTCTCCTCTTAAACTGCCCGTTTTTTTAATGAAGCTTGCAGTGTGCCCCCAACAGAAATATAACAGAAATCATCCAATGTATTAAAAAAACCCTGAAACAGACAGCTTCGCTCATATCCTTGTCCAAATGTTACCTACTTATTTGTCATATCACATATATCTGGCATTAAAATATCCCCATAAGGCTTTGGAATTAATGCTGCACAGAGGCAAAGTGAGGTATCTGTATCTCAGGGCTACTCTTTCAGGAAGCCTGAATATGTAGATCTACTTTAATGTAGATTTTATATACCACTTATCTTCAGCAGAGCAGTAAGAACCAGACACGGTTTTGTTTCCAGCCAAAAGCATAAGCTTTGGGAATGTTAATTACTGAGCAAGATGCAAACGAAGCACAATTACAGCCACGTTAGACATGGGACGCTGGCAACGGGGGACTGCTGTGTGGTGGAGAGGAAGCCCAAATGCAAGGTGAACAGCGCTGCACGTCAGCAGCACGCGGGGAGCATTCGAAAGCAACGTGAGCGGCTCCGTCGTGGAGGGTTTGGAGTTTCACGCTTTTAAACTACAAAAGAGGCCGAGAGGCTCAATTCCATGCCATTAGCAGCAACGCCTTCAGCAAAGCAAGCGACCCGATGGCTATAACTATTTTTCCAGCATTTTGCGGAAGACAAATTTCTGAGTTTGAGGGGAAAACAACAGGCAAGGCTAAAGCAAAGCAAAGAGCAGCTGGGATACGAATCTGTGTTCCCACAATTGCCAAAACGCACTCTCACTACAGCTGTTTGTACCTTTGATTAGTCGATACCACTGTTTGCAGACAAGGGCAGCAGTTTTGTGCTCCTGATAGGGTGAAAGGAAGGAGAGGATATATTCCAAAACCTCTTCTGGTAGCTCCAACATTGATCTGTTATGCCTGGTCTCCTCCACCTCCAGCTCAGCACGTGGCTCGTCGTCTTGCTCCATTGTCCCTTCGACCACAGCGTCTTCTGGATCCACAGCCATGAAACTGTCATCTTCACTGTCCGAGGAACTGGCCATGGCATTCCACTTCACAGCTTCATGGGGGAAAGTGGGAAAAGACAACAGTAAGGTCACAAAGAAAATTAATAGCATCAGAAATGCATCTGCAAGCCGTGCATATTACACCAACGGTCATCAAGTTCTACCCCCGCAAACTCCAAGTTGAGGACGTGGTTTTTGCAAAGCTTTGAAGCAGGCTGCACATGGGTTAGGAACAAGCCATTCTCTGTCGGTGCAGCATTTTCCCAGGCCACTCCATTTCTCACCACTCTCAGCCGTACCATTGTCTACACAGTACCAGAGAAAGCAAAAAAAAAAAACAAACCCCCAAACAAAAAACCACCAAAATCCCGCTGGAGGAACCGCAGCCTCTCGAATTTCCCAGCTCCTTTGCTGGGCACGAGGAGGTATCACGGTGCCGCACTGGTGGCCCTGGCTGGATTGCACCATGGGGCTGGGCAGTGATGGGGAAAGGGATCCCCACCGAATCAAGAAGAACAACCCAAGGCAAGACAGGATGGAAGCAACAGCTTTCCAGCACCTCCTCCCCTGCAAAACCAGTTTTGCCAGCGAGTGTGCTTTACCCCAAGCAATTTCTCAGCAGCACGCAGGGAGGGAAAAAAAAAATAAATTCCTGTCCCATTCTCCCTTAAGACCTCCTTTTTGCCCCCCCCACCCCTTTTTTTTTTTTTTGCTAAATACTTGCACGCAGTTCTCACTGGCAGTAGGTGAGGAAAGAGAAACCCCCACAGGATTTACTGCTGATGAAAGGCTGGAATATCAAAGATTGCATCTCCAGCTTTTCAGAACAGCTAAGTGTAAGGTAACGTACTGATGACAAAAATACATCATGAAATAAATCTATCTTAACAAGCGGCTGCATCCAATGCGGCCAGTTGGCATGGTCTGCAGTTAAACCCATGCCCATCGCTGCAAAACAAATTCCTGGACCCTAGTGCCTAGGAAGCAGCCGACCTGTTTTAGCGAGAGTGGTGATAGTTTTCCTTTCCAACGCCACCCAGTGAAGACCCAGGGATGCAACTGCTCCATGATTATACCTGAACCGACAGCTCAAACCAATGGAACAACTCATAAGGATGACACAGGGACTTTCTTTTCCAAACGCTGCAATCCCAAATCCCTTTTTTATCTTTCACTAGCTCAGCAGGGTGTAAAAAAGAACCCAAAACAGGGCGAACTCTCAGTTCTTATGTCGCTCAGTGGGAGTTTCTCCCAACTCCAGGAGGCAGAGGCTCCCTAGCCACCCCCAGATCGACCGGGATGATGGGACACAGCACGCCACAGTCCATGGGACAAACCCTACCTGCAGTGAGCCCAGGAAGCAAACCTGCTCCTCAAGAGAGGAGACAAGACGTGGCTTTTTGCCCAACATACTTAAATACAAGTACCTTGCACCATGTTGGTCATAAAATATAGCCTCTTATTTTTACCAAACTCTTGGTCTCTCAGAAAATATGGCTGGAAGGAATTTAAGTTACTTAGCTGCTGGGAATAAACTAAGCTGTTGTTACAAGCTTCCAGCAATGCAAACTCTACCATCTTCCCCAGCTAAACCCAGGGTTTTCCCATCCCAGCATACACCGAGCCGAAGAGCCATGGGAACAGCAGACGGCGGAGATGTGGAGCAGAAAAGCTTGCCATGACAACTAATTCATGCTCAGAAAAATTACATTCGACAGCATTACTCTCCACTTTTGTCAGGTTCCCCAATGAAGCAGCTTCAGAAAATGCTAGGGGCTGTCAATCTTTGGTAGAAACCACGTCAAAATTAAACTTACAGTTATCATCCTAACAGATGCTCAGCACGTTTTGCCGTGTTGGAAATCCTTCTTCAAGTCAATGTTATGACAGAGAAAGGCTGAAACCCAAACGCTTTGACACGAGCGCTGCTGCTGCCAGCAAAATGCATTACGCAGCAGATAATACAAAAATTCCCAAAGATTAAGAAATGGAAAGCTAAAAAAGAAAAGCAGAGCTACACTAAAAAAAACCCTCCAACAATTAAAAAAACCAGAGGGTTGGGTCTTTTCCAAGCAAAAGCATCTATCGTCGTGAAGCACATGTGCTGATTTCCATCTTGACACAGCATGGCAGGAAGCCAAAGGCTCCCGGTACTCCAGCCTCGGGATGCTGTTTCGCTCGAGCTGGGGAGGTTGGAGGAATGAGGGTTGGTCCCTGTCTCAGGGCTTGGGAAAACAGAGAGCAGCACATCTACCCAGGCGGAGCAGAAGGCGTTTCACACCCTCAAAATGTGCTAGGAAACCAAACAGAAATGCATTTATATCCAGATCAGGTACAATGGGACACCTGCGGGCGACAACACCAAACAGAAGCCTCGGCTCAACAGGTTCACACGAAACATCTGTTGCGTTATTAAGGTTTATAAGCAAAGATTATGTGTGTTTCCCAACAGCTCTTATTTATCCTTTAAATAATGTCCAAAACCTGCTGGAGGAAGTCAGATGAGAAGGGCAGGAACGAAAGCCCAGCTAGCAAGGGTTTTTTTTCCCAATTATTAAATCCCAATTTCAATCCTCTGGAGCAGGCTTAGGAACAACACAGCAAATTAATCACAGACGCAAAACAGTGTGGGTGTTAGAAAAGAATCTCTAAGGCCCATTTTAAAGAGGCAGGAGGAGCAGGGAAACCCCTCGATGCTTCCCAATAGCACAGCTTGCGCCGATCTGAGGATGGAGAAGCTGCACCGAGTTTTGTCTGGTCTTACCAGACCACTTGATAATATTATAAATATTCAAACGCATCTACTTTGCTAGATCCTTGTCTTCTAAACATTTGAGCACAAGAAATAACCATCCTCCAAGTTTTTACACCCACGCTGTGTCATTTTTCTTAAGGAAAACAAAACTAGCAATAAACTCAACTCCCAAAAGGCCAGTCGCCATCAAAATAACCGTTCAAGCTTGACCTGCCACAGATGCAGATTTTGCTCTTATGGCACGGGAACAGCAGGCTGGGAATAACCACCCCCGGACTGCAAACTGGCAAAAGCCCTGTCCTATAACCCTGCTCTGACATCAAAAAAGGAAAAAGAAACCCAGGCAGTTGGTAAGAGAGAGCCAAAGCATCCCAACCAGCTCCTATTACCAATTATTCAGCAGATCCATGGGAGAAAATCCCATGCCAATGTTTTTAGTAGTTGTCTGACAAGCAGAACGGAGTGTTTCTGTCCCATGTGCATTTAAGGGGGGTGCAGTAGGTGCTTTCTCACTCCTCCTGGCTCTCCAGGCGCTCTCTGCTTGCACCAAGCTGGGCTTCAGTTTGTTCACAGACTAAAATTAATCTCCAAGCACTCAAAAAGCCGCAGTAAACAGATTTAAGCACTCGTGTCTCGTCCAAAAGTACGCGCAATTCAATTAACTTGCCGCGATGGATCCAGGAGTCCCTTTCTGCTCCAACCAGTCACTGTGAGGGCCAACACGAGCCCCTTGAAGCATCGTATTATATTTTGCACCCTACAGCCTCCCTGCTCCCAGAGACGTCCCTTTATATTCCAGCAGCAGAAACATTTTACAGCACTCAGATATTAGCCTAAAGCCCTACCAAGGAGGGATCACAGCTGCTTAAAATAACACGTAAAGAAACACTAGAAGGGCAATCGAAACAGCTCTGCCAGCACTCATCAAATTTGCCTGGCCCTTCCTAAAAGCTGTGTGTCTGCCAGTTGGCAAAACATTTTGTAACTCTTCTCCTCCTTTCAGAGCACTTCAATTTTCCCCCCTTTTCCCTCCTGAAATTATTTAAGAACCCGCTATTTATTCTGCTAAAGTAATTATTTGCTGCAGCGGAACAAACAGATGAAATATATTAAATGCAGGCAAAAAAACTCACCGGGTTAAAGCACTTCTCAAAGCCTGGTAGCAACATGAGGCAGCCAGCAGCGTGCTCCTGCAAAACCCCTCTCAACCCAAGAAGGTTTATCCTACCTGCAGGCACCTCTCCCGGTCCCACGGACCCCAATTCACAGGCGTGGGTGGCATCAGTGGTTCCCATCCCGAGCTACCCCCTCTTCTGTGCAACTCTCAGCTGTTTTAAGAAGTGCTTGAACCCTGCAGGGTTTTTGACCTGGCTTTTTTTTTTTTTTAAAAAAAAGTCAACAGATTTTAGGGGAAAAAAGCCTCCAAGGGAAAGTTCTTGAATGAAAATAAGAGGCTGTGTAATAGTACTGAGTCAGAGTACATTAGTCATAAGGGAATGCTCATTTTCGCATGCCACAAAAAATTCTCTCTCCAAACATAATCGTAGAAGCTATGTGCTCACCCGGGGGGAAAAGAAAAAAAAATAAAATACTAAAGGTGTGTGAAAGGACCTAGCCCTGGCTGGCTGCTTTGGCTGGAAAGAGAAATGGACTCTGCAGAACAGAACAGTTAATTGCACTTGGCAATCAGGAGCTATGGTGTTAATTTAGGGGTGGAAGACAGCAACTGCCTCTAACCCACTCCAGACTCTTCCTCATACTTTGCAACTGCTTATTCTGCTTGTCAACAGCCCCATCAGCACGGCAGGGTAGCATTTATGGAGATATTTAGACCTTTTAGGCATATTCTCTTAACCAGTTCAAAAAAAAAAAAGCCTATTCCATCAGACAGACACATTAAATAATAAGTCTTATGCTGCTTTCCTTGAAAAAAAACCTACCTGTATTGGGAAGGATTATTTTCGCATGATTTTATTGTTTGTCTTGTGCAGCCATGCCATCGAGGACTTCAATGGCAGCTTTGCCCCCTCCAGTTCAGCTTTTGCTACTATCAGTTGCCCTACAGAAGCCCTGAGCCCTTTCCTAGTGATACAAGAGGAAATATAAAGCATTATTTCCTACGTAGAAGCACACTATTTTATGAAAGCAACAGCACAGGGAGCAGAAGGTCTCCAGGAGCCACGGGATTCGGGGTAGGGAAAAAACACCGTTAAATAAGATGATGTTTCCAGTCCTCCAAAGCTTGCACCAGTTAGAGCCGACTCATTTGAAACTCAACTGC